AGCAATCATGGAGGGGTCTGAAATGTTCATCTTAAGTGCATGTCCACTGTGAGAGACATAATCTAAAAGAAAAATCTGGAAATCACAATGTATGATTTTTTAATAATTTATTTGTGTGTTACTACTGCAAATAAGTATTTGAAACACCTGTGAAAATTAATGTTAATATTTGGTACAGTATCTTTGTTTGCAGTTACAGAGGTCAAAGGTTTCCTGTAGTGTTTCAGCAGGTTTGCACACACTGCAGCAGAGATTTTGGGCCATTCCTCCACACAGATCTTCTCTAGATCAGCCAGGTTTATGGGCTGTCGCTGAGAAACACAGAGTTTGAGCTCCCTCCAAAGATTTTCTATAGGGTTTAGGTCTGGAGACTGACTAGGCCACTCCAGAACCTTGATATGCTTCTTACAGAGCCACTCCTTGGTTCTCCTGGCTGTGTGCTTTGGGTCATTGTCATGTTGGAAGACCCAGCCATGACCCATCTTCAATGCTCTAACTGAGGCGAGTGGAATTAAGACCAAAAAGTTCTATTTTGGTCTCATCTGACCACATAACTTTCTCCCATGACTCCTCTGGATCATCCAAATGGTCATGGTCAAACTTAAGACGGGCCTGGACGTGTGCTGATTTAAGCAGGGGAACCTTCCGTGCCATGCGTGATTTTAAACTATGACGTCTTAGTGTATTACCCACAGTAACCTTGGAAACAGTGGTGCCAGCTCTCTTCAGGTCATTGACCAGCTCCTCCCATGTAGTTCTGGGCTGATTCCTCACCTTTCTTAGGATCATTGATACGCCACGAGGTGAGATCTTGCATGGAGCCCCAGTCCGAGGGAGATTGACAGTCATGTTTACCTTCTTCCATTTTCTAATAATTGCTCCAACAGTTAATCTTTTTTCACCAAGCTGCTTGGCAATTGCCCCGTAGCCCTTTCCAGCCTTGTCGAGGTCTACAATTTTGTATCTGGTGTCTTTGGACAGCTCTTTGGTCTTAGCCATGTTAGTAGTTGGAGTCTTACTGATTGTGTGGGGTGGACCGGTGTCTTTATGCAGCTAACAACCTCAAACAGGTGCTTCTAATTTAGAATAATAAGTGGAGTGGAGGTGGACATTATAGAGGAGGACTAACAGGTCTTTGAGGGCCAGAACTGTTGCTGATTGGCAAGTGTTCAAATACTTATTTGCAGCAGTTACACACAAATTAATTATTAAAAAAATCATACATTGTGATTTCCGGATTTTTCTTTTAGATTATGTCTCTCACAGTGGACATGCACCTAAGATAAAAAATTCAGACACCTCCATGATTTCTAAGTGGGAGAACTTGCAAAGTCGCAGGGTGTTCAAATACTTATTTTCCTCACTGTATAATTAAATAATTAATTAATTTTAGCTTGGGTCACACTTATCGATATATTTACTGCCATTTGGGCAAAATAGTGTGAACCCCAGCCCATTGAGCCAGGGTCAATGCTGAGGAAGTGCACTGCTGGAGGGGTCAGGGAGGAGGCTGTATGGGAGGGCAACACAGGTCAGTGGTGAAGCTAACTTTAGCAATGAAGACAATTGGTCGTTCTCTTACATAACATATTTGCACTTTTTATTAATATTGCACAAGTCATACTCTGTACGCTTAGACTGTTGTGTTGAGACAACTGTATCAGGCTGACGTGATTTTTCTCTTACCCTTATTGTAGCCAAAGTAATAGTAACCTGCTAACTGTAGCACCGGTGTTATTAAAAGGGTTTAGGTCGATACTGTCAGGATAACGGGGTCAGCTCTATTTGAAAGGTTCACCTGAAAGTGATAAAAAAAATAAAACTAGCACATATATGCCAATTCCAACCCAACATGGATGATGTTCCTTTATCCAGCTGCCATTGTTTTCACTGTGTCCCTTCATCATGGCCCTTCATGCTCTCTCTTCTAGGTGAATGTTAGCAGTTGAATGCTGTACGTTATCATTATGTCGGATGGTTAGAGGAAAGGCTGGATGGGCTTAAAATAGAAGTAAATAAATGAGAAATGTGCTGCTACACTTGCAGCCCACACTACACAAACTGCATTTGTATGCACACATACTCACACACATGATTTAAAATCCTATTTATTACCTGAGGGCAGCCTTTCTGTAACTGCTGAGATAGCACAATGGCACACAGACGCTCAGTCTTGGTATGAAAACTAGGACTGCATGAACATAAGGGAGCGAGGGAGACAAAGATAGCAATGATGGAAGAGCGATGAAGACAGAGGAGTGATAAAAATTTAGGAACATCTCATTATCTTGTCATTTTGACCTGCTGGGTTGGTCACGACTCTGATACGTTTTTTTCTGGATTTAGCTTTGAAAGTATTGTTGATTATAGTTTGTTCATCTGTTTGCACGTTTACTGCTTGTCTGCAGCGTCACTGCACCAGCCAAGGACTCGGAAGTGTTTTAGCTGACATTATGCCAGTGGGCTGCACACGTGGAGGAGGAAGGGAGTCTTTTTTATTAAACCTTAGTTATTAGCATATTGATTAATTTATACCTTTTTATTTATTCAAATATAGACTCACCTTTGCTTCTTGTGAGTCAATTTTGTGGTGAGTTCTTGTGTTTTTGGGGAGGCAAATACTTAGAATTATACTTCAGCACATAATAAATTTGATTAAATTGCATCTAAAATTTAAATAAATAAAACATGCATTTTTTTATCTCAAAATTGCTCGGCTTTAAATTAGACTAGAGTTAGATCTAAGTAGTAAAACTTTCTATGGCCAAAATTAAAGGAGACCATCCTTTTTTATATTTGTATTTTTTAGGAACTTTTCAGTTTGATCCAAACCAGTATTTGCAGTGAATATGCTTTATTATAGACATGAAGCACAGCAGCTGCCTGCACAAGGCAAGTGGGTTTGGGTTGCTTGCTGCACTTTTCGCCTTGTCTGTCGTAGATGATGATCATTTGCATGTTTTATGTTTGAGTGTCAGATCACTTCAGTGATGTCATGGTGCTGTTTCTTTAAGTTTCCCTTTCACTTGCTGAGAAATGAAGAGAAACAATCAGTTCTTTTGTCTCAGGTCATATGTCTAATAGTTTCCAGGAGCTGTCACTAGAGCTGAGCCAAAGGAAATAAATGTTTAAATGAAGTAGTGAGTTTCATCAGGCCCTCAGGCTAGCTGTGTGGCTCATTGGACTCGCACACACACTGAAAACAAGTCTTTATAAATAAGCCCTTGTGTCTCATTCTGTCACTTTATTGGACTTCCTTTCAGTATTTTTAATCCTTACCATCTTTATTTTCTTGTCACTTCTTGCTGTTTTTAAACCAGTCCCTTTTATGCTTGCTTTTGTTCTTTCTGTCAGTCATTTTCTGCTTTCTTTTTTTATTTGATGGTTGCCATTTGTATTTACCGTATTTTCCGCCGTACACGTCGCACCGCCCTATAAGTCGCATCAGTCCAAATATGTCTAATAAAGTGGAAAAATCCATAAATATGTCGCTTCGCTGTATACATCGCATCTATGATGCATCACCACTAACGCGTCGCGTTCGTTACGCGTCACCGCTGACAACCCGGAAATGTGGTCCGGTGTTGTGCCAAAAATCTACTGGCTGCCAAATGGCAGCCGCGGGAGCGTGAACGGGAGGATTTTAACAAGATTAACACCTAAAAACTATTATTATATAGTCTAACTTTTCCTTAATAAATGCACTTTTGGGTCAGATCAGCTGCATTTGCAAAAGTATTCGCTGCCTCGGTGCTCAGAGAGAGTGGAGGAAATCAGGAAGGAGGAACGCTGCGCATTTCTTCGAAATAAGATAAGCACATAAAACAATTATTTGTTTGCTCGACATTATAGTAAAGGTGTGTCTCAGTTGAACCTTTACTTAATAAATGCACTTTTATCGTAAAATCAGCTGCATTTCACCGGGGCAGCGCAGTGAAATGAAGCTGATTTGATGGTTGCTCTAGACAAACTGGATGAAGGTGGCAGGCTATGGCAAGTCAGTTGTGTCATCCTTTTAGCCTTTCAAATGACCCGGCGTCCATTCGGCGATGTCTCATGTTTCCCTCCAGTCCCTCCTCCCACCTTTCCCGCCTCTTACGGTTTTGCTTAATGTAATTACGTTTTTTCAAATGTTGCATTTTTTTCTAATATACTTGCATTTTTTTTTCAAATGCTGCATATTTTCAAATGTTGCCTTTTTCCAAATGTTGCTTTTTTCCAAATGTGATCACAATTTTCCAAATGTAGTTTTTTCAAATGTTTTTTCAAAAGTTGTTTTTTTAATTTGTAGTTGTAGTTTAAACTGTAGAAGCAAGTGTGAGAACCATGTGGAAAAAGCAAGTCAGATGAAGATTAGGATTTGGACTTTGCTATTTTTGCAAGAATCCAGTTGGAGACATCCAGGAACAAAAAAGTCTCTGTTGCTGACTGCCCTGGCTGATTCCCAAATCTAAAAGTTTGGAACGCAAAGTGAGAAGTATTTCCAAGAAAACGCCAAAGTGGCACAAACACTAGATGTTAATGTAGTACAAGTTCTCTGTTGTTATTTTTACATGTAGGTTTAGCAGATTAACTTCTAGGAAGGCTAGACTCTAGGTTTTTTGCTCAGTGTCATGGCTGTTCACATTGATAAAGCTAGAATCTCTCTTGAATCAGATAACATGAATCCGCATGAACACTATCTGTGGTTTTAGAAACTTTTGGCCCAACTTCAACCACATATTGAACAGTTAGTGTTTAAAACATAGGAAAGGTGTTTCTCTGCTGACTTTATGTGCAGATCTGTTTGCTTATCAGATATGCACAGAGCAACTATTCAACACCATCATACCAAACTTTCCTGCTGCTCCTTTTGCAGTCAGACTACAGTCTAGCGATGACCTGACTTGTACACACCTGTATGTGGAGCTGGATGTATCAGTCAAACCTGGAGGAGCTTGAGTCTTTCAGTTATATTTGGGCGTTCTCCTCTCATGTTGTTTTTCTTTGTCGTTGAACAGCTGAGAGAAGCAAGCAACACAGGAAAGAGAATCATTTGATGGAAGAAAGGAAAAAGAAAAAACAAGAAGAAAAGACTCAGAAGGACATATCTCAGAAAAAGGTGAGTTTCTCGTGCACGTTTTAGGACTTGTGTTTTCATCTTGTCTTGACCTAAAGAGTAATGTAACATTTAGTCATTATTTTCCTGCAAGCTTTTAGGAGTCATAGTTATGGTAGATTTGCTGAAAATACGACATTTCAGTGTATTTTTAAGAATAATTTCTTTAAAGTAAATGGTCAGATAATTTATGAAATGGCATCAGGTTTACTTTCTTTGGTAATGCAACTGTTGTTGAACAAAACATTAGTTTTTTTTTATAATTATGGGTTTGATTTATTTGCTTTATTGCACTAATTTTTTTAATTTCTCTTTCTCCTTCTGCAGGCTGCAGATCAGAAACCCAAAGGTGAGTATCTTTCAGTAAACTTTATAACTAACTGATGTACATTACTACAGATTATTCATGCGTTTTTCATTCTTATGCACAGATGGACACATGCATTAATCACATGTATGCGCTACTGAACCGTATGACTTTTAGGCTTTTCAGACAAACATGCACACATTTTAGAGCAGATACAGAGGAGAGTAATGCAGAGTGATGCTCAGTACGCTGCAGCATCAGGCAGTGAAGCGTGAGGCACCCAGACATTTCACCCAGTGTGATGGGGGATGGGATGTGTTGAATAAAAGAAGAGGCTGCAGTTAAGCTGGGATACAAAGAAGGCTAGGACGGAAAGACCACTGTCCTCATGTGCCCTTCGTGCTTCCTGCAGAAATACATGGTGTAGTGCTATAAAGTTAGCTTTATCAACAAAATGCAGCTCTGTCGCATGCAGTTTTTCTAATGAAAGACTTTTGCTTTTAATTGATTTGATGCTACAAATGTATAAACAGTTCTCTCATAAATCTATTTTGATACATTTTTCTGTTTTCTCTTGGAAATTCAACTGAAGCATCTCTATAATTAGAATTCAGGTCAAGAAACAATGCAGTTAATCAACCATGACCTTAAATGCCTGTGTACATTCTCTACACATAGAAAATGTAAGCACCTGTAATAATTAAAATGACCACATATCAATTAATATGATGACATGATAATACTAGGTGTTCATTTTTTACAACTGCTATCTTGTCCTCAACCTAAACTGAAGTATATAATATTACTGTCTTCCAGTATCTTATCTTATCTGTGTGCAAATTATGGCAGTTTATGGATTTCTAATTTTTACACGTTCTTGGATTAAAGTTGTGTTAGACTGTTATTGTGACTAGGGCTGAACAGTAGGAATGTGCGATATGGCATAAAATTCATATCACAATATGTATTGTGAAGGGTGGCAATAACGATATATATCGCAATATGTTTTGGGTATAAAACTTAATAGGAATTTTTCAAAAAGCATAAGGTGTCCTTTTGCCATCATATATTTTGAATTAAGAAAATTCCACAACTAGGTCCAGAGAGATTTTAAATAATAAAAAAATCAAGTATTAGGCTTCTTTCTTGTAGTGCAAAACAGTGCAAAATATGTAAAATGTAGTTTTAGCCATATGTTTTAAACAAAAGAATATGTTGTTAACAGTTTCCAGTCTTACTTAAGAAATGAACAGCAACAGAGCAGCATTTTACACTGAAACACTTCACCCTCCAACCTCTAGTTGGCGACTCCTTCCACTTTAATGGAGTGTTGACACAAAATGACTGTGGCTTTGACCAGAGGGTCTCGCAGTAAAATCACACAACACAGCGTTCTTTTCACAGATCAGAGAGCAGGTTTCTCTAAAGCTGACCAACGCTTACTTTAACTTTTGACAGAAAAAAAAAAACTTTCGACGAACACAGCGTTTTGTGCATGCATCAGAATACGGCAACACTACGGCAAGCTGGCTGTAGTTAGCTTGTAGCTTCGCTACTTAGCTCTCGAAGAAAAGACTTTAATGCCACTTGCGCACAGTTTTCAACTAAAAAAGTAACTATTAAACTGATAACTCTGATTTTACTCTTGAACACCACTTACGCACAGTTTTCAACTTAAAAAAGTAACCATTAAACTGACAACTTTGATTTTACTTCAGACACAGCATTACTGCGGTTAGCCGGTAGAAGTCAGATCTCTATTGTAGGCTAAATTTCTATCGTTTCTACCGTGTACCATTTATATTGCGCATTCCTACTGAACAGTGAATTGCATTTGCAATAATACTGCAATATGATAAAATGAGATTTTCTAATTGCAAAGGCTTTGATTTGACTGGTCATGTGATCTGGTTACGTGACTTACGAGTGAGCGGAGTGGAGCAGAGCAGGGAGCGGGTGAAGTCAGCACTGCGCTTTAACCGGTTGCACAGTGGTGTCAGGCTCAACAGAAGCTGATGCATCTGAAAGTTTGGTACCAAAGAGGAGCAGCACGTTCGCTGTTTGAATTATTTTGGCTATAAAAAAGAAGACGCTGCGCAACATTTATTGTTCAGAACCTGCCTTGTTGCTGTTGCTACCTCTCGAGGTAACGCCACAAATCTTTATCAACACTTAAAAAAACACCACAAAGCCATTTATGATACTTGCATGGCTACAATGCTAACGACCTGTGCTTCAACTTTAAATAAGCAAAGTAGCAGCCAACGGATCACTGACCGAACTGTTCGAAGGTATTACTCTGTATGAACATAATTCGAAATGGCATGCAGAAATAACTCAAGCAACAACAGAGTTCGTAGCGAAATACATGATGCCTGTTAATATAGTGACCAAGCCTGCGTTTACAGCTTTGGTACACAGTGGATAAGTGCTACAGAATGCCCTCTCACACACATTTTAGCCAAGTTGCTATGGAGCTATACAAAAAATGCAGAAACAAAGTTGCAGCAGAGCTGAAAACAGTGGAGTTTTTACAACTGAAACAGAATGATTTATTGCTTGTGTTCGTTGAAAACTACACAAGAAGAAGATAATGAAAAATAATCACACATTAAATTGCAATATTGAGGTAAAAAATTGCAATTACAATATTTTCCTAAATCGTTCAGCCCTAACTGTGACGTCGCTCGTGCGTCATGGAACAAAGTGATTTAAACAATATGTACCTCAAAATGTAATTGTACCTCAAACAAAACCTTCATCACATTACAGTTTTGTTACAGAATCAAACGGTCACCTCTAAAATGTATTTATTTTGTAATTGTCCCATCAATTTATTGTTTTCCTGCTCAACACCTGATCCCAGGGTGTGCACATGGAGACAGTGTAGTTCAGTTATATAATGGGTGTCCAGTCCTTGTCCTGGAGGGCCACTATTCTGTACATTTTACTTGTTTCCCTGCTCCAACACACCTGACTCAATGGTTCAATCACCGCTTCATGTTCTGCAGAAGTCTTGTCAATTATTCATTGATTGAAATCAGGTGCGTTTGAGCAGAGGAACATCTAAAACATGCTGGGCCAGGAATGGAAACACCAGTGTTATATGGTCTGCCAACCATTTACATTACAAACTTTACAATCAGCTCTACTTCTTGTCATTTTCTAGTTTGTGTCCACCTGCTTCCACCTCAGTATTAGCAAACTGCTTAACATTAACTTTTTGAGGCGTCTAGTTTGACAGCTTCCTCCTTCTCTTTCATCGGTGGCAGCCGCCACACCGTTGGTTGCACTATCCGGTAACTTGTACTGTGAGCTTGATCAGTGAGTGAATTCTGTCAACTCAGTTGTGAGCTCAGTTTCAGCTCAGCACTCTTACTTTTGAAGTAATTAAGTTCACCATAAATGGTGTTTAATAAGTTATAAGTGCAAGTTCAGGAGATGGTGTTAAAATCATCCCTGTGTGTCTGTTGATGACGCTGCAGCGCACACACTGTCTGGGTTTTAAAGTTCTCTCCTGCTTGCCTCGGAGTCTGAGCAATCAGTTTAATTAGCCCCTCACCCCGTGCTCTGCTGCACTGTCTCGACCCTGACCCATTATTCAGTTTTCAAAGCTTTACACACAGCTAGTTTCAACTGCTTCCAGTGAAACATCAAATACTTTTCTGAAAATCAAAACTTTGGTCTTCTTTCAAAATGTGGTGAAAACAAACATGAATAAAGGAGAATGTGGCTTTACTTTGTAATCATGTCTATTTTAATAACTTTATTTACAGTAAACATGACTGAAATATATCATAGTCCTTTAAATTCACTCATCATTTGGCTGCCTTTAAATATAAATACAGTTTTATCTTTTCATGTGTGATTAGATTTTATTGCTTCATTCAACATGTGTGATGATGACGAGTTCTTACTTTGAATATTAAAAACTAGTGGAAGAACTGGGAAATGTTGCGTTTGAGCGTTTGTATTTGTTTCTTGTGATGCTTGTCCGCACACATTTTGCATGTCAACACAACTGTTGTTACTCTTTAGGCAAAAGTAAAACTACAATTTGGTTATCAGCTGTGGCCGTTTTATTATTACTTTTACTTGTTTAATCTTACCCACAGCAAATTTAGAGCCCAGATCATGACAAACCACTAAATTATTCCTTTTATTATGAATATTATTTGGTGGTTGACTGTAACAGGAAGTAAATTGTAAAGGGTAAGGGAGGAAATTGTAAAATCCCTGCTTGGGGTGGAGGTCCACAGACAGAAGCTCAATTAAAAAGAGGACAAGAAAGATGGAGGAAGTGTAACAAACTGTTTTAGGATGAGATCAAATAGGAAAGAAAGCACTTTGGACGAATTGAAAAAATGACCATCAAGCCTCAACACTGGAGCTAACACAGAGAGCTGGTGTGTTTTAATGAGAGATGGAGATGGAAAGAACTTGGAATGAGAAACTGATTGTGTGAATGTAAGAAGTGCTTTTAGACCAAAAGGAAAAGAAAGCTGAGGAAAGAAGTCTTCTTTGAAGACTAAGCAAACCATCAGGACTTGAGTTTTTTCCCGACATTCCAATCTTCAATCCCTTCAGCGTGGACGGTGACATTGGCGAGATAAAAATGGCTTTTCATGCATGGCATTGAATAATGGTCTGTATAGGCAGGAAGGAAGAAAATCAGTATGCAGTAGTGATTTGTGTCTTTCCATCCATATCATTGCATTCTGCCTTCTTTACACATTTTTAGGAATTCATAGACTCGTACACACACCACCCCCTCCCCTTTCCTATCAGACTTTTTCTGCTTTCCTCTCGGTGGGTCTCCCTGGGCCCGGGCGCTTCAATTTGTTTGCAGTAATCGATCTCGGCCCGGCGCATTCATATGTATGAAAATGAGATAAAGCTCCGGCTCGCTGGAATTAACTTCTCTGCCCCCTATTAGGCATGGAGCTTCATCGAATGCAGGGTTCCAGGAGGCTGTGTCCCCATTGCCCTTTACCCCACTCCAACTCCCCCCCCCCCCCACACACACATGTAGGCTGAATCTC